GATTTTGTATCAGGAGAATAGGATGGGCGAGGAGGTAGCACGACAAAAATGTTTAAGCTGGAATATCTCGTGATTGGGGAGGAATTTCTGGTTGAAAGTTCGGATATTGTATCAGGAGAATATGATAGGCGAGGAGGTTGCACGATAAAAATGTTGAAGCTGGAATATCTCGTGAACGGGAGGGATTTCTTGCTGAAAATTCGGATTTTGTATCTGGAGAACATAAACTCGAAAAATGTCTGAATAAAGAGAACCGCTCAACGGCGGGCCTTGTACCAGCTCCTCGAACCTCATGTACTCCTGATACAAAATTCGAATTTTCAGGCAGAAATTCCTCCTCCTTGACGAGATACTATAGCTTAAACTGTTTTCATAAACACTCTGTATCTGGAGGCCCGCCCAACGACGTGGATTATCGTCCTACTTCGTCAATTCTCTTGCTCTCCTGATCCTGAATGCGAATTTCCTTCTCTTACACATTTTGTTGTTTGTCTATTCTGATACCAATTATTTCTATTAATTATAAATTACTGAGTCGTGCATTGTACCATTAGATTAAAATACTAGAAAAGATAAGAACCTAGTTAAGAGAATTGTATAGACGTTTTGTTTTGATCCTTTTGCCATTGAAAATTTAGTCCATTTATTTTTTAATAGTTCACCGCCACGTGACGATGCGATGTAAAAATTATTCGTTATTCCTCACTGTTGTTTTTAGTTGTTGCTTTTATCACATACGATGTAAATGCTACGAGAAAGCAATTTTCATTTGCACATTTCGAAGCTTATACAATGTGTGATATATGTAGGAGGGAAATTGAGACTCTAGTTGGGCAAATGCAATTATATATTTTAATTAATTTATTTTGAAAATGAATATTGAATTTATTGAGAAAAGAACAGAGACCATGGGCTTTATAATATTTAGCCAAAGTCGAAGTGATTCATACATCTGGTAATGGAGTAAATCTCCACTAAAAGATTCCAAGTTCCGCCATCAATCGGAATCTAATGAAATTGAAGCATTGTTAGTGAGATATTTTAATTCTAACAATCGTCTGGTAGATGACTGCACATGCTATGTTCTTGACACATTTTTTTGTGCTGTTTCTTCTTCAGGTGCATAGATAACAACTTTACTAAACAAAGACGACTCTAGTATTGTACAAGGACATGTAATGACACGCGATGAGCAATAGTGTTTGACAAGGATAGTTTTATGCTATGTCGTTAACAAAGAGATGATCAGAGGTGCAAGGACAAATATAGTTTAGTTGAATCTTACCACCGCTTTGCGGCTGTAGTATCTCAATGTCTCTAGGAAACACGTAGTAGGTAATGTAGATTCCTACCACGAGTTCTCACACAAATAATTAGCACTGATGAAATTTGAATAAATATATATATATATATATATTTGGTATTACACTCTTTGGTACAAATTTTATATCACAACACTCGATTGGCGAGAGAAACTTATACTCACAGTAAAACGCAGGATGAGAAGTAGTAGTAGTAGTAGTATTCGTAGTGTTCTTATTTTTCTTGCTTTTCCTCTTCGCAACCTGGCTTTATATAGCCACTGCTTGCGAAGAGGGGGAAAATCTTTTTCCCGCCTTTTTCCGGCTTTTCTCGGGCTTTTATTTTTTTGCTCGGGAAAAGGTGTCGCTGCCTGCTTTATTGGAAACGCACCTTTCGACGGAAAGTTCCTGCGGAAGTACGTGGCGCTATCTGGTGTTTCGCGGAGGTAGCGGTCGCTACTTGTCTGTAGGAACCTGTGTGGGTAAGGCAGGATTCTGCCGTAGATTCGCGTACATAATATACATAATTCTTTTACAGTCTAAAATAGTCTTTGGTTTATTTCTAGAAATGTGCGCTTACAAATTTTTGTACAGAATGGTTCTTACCAGTAGTAGCGAAGATAGTAATGAACATAGTAGTAGGAGTAGTATTAGTTATAGTAGTAGGCTTTTTCCTTCTTCGCAACCAGGTTTTATATCATTGGTTTGTGAAGAGGGGGAAAACTCTTTTCCCGCGTTTTTCCTGTTTTCCCGGGTTTTTTTTTATTTCTTTTACAAAAAAGATGTCGCTTCTATTGGAAACTCTCCTTGCGACGGATGGTTTGAGCGGATGTAAGTGGCGCTGTTTCAAATTGCGCGGAAGTAGCGGTCGCTACATATCAATAAATTGATCAAATTTTTATTTGATAAAGAAACTAAATTGGCGAATTTATTTTTGAACTTTCATGATTGAATTCTTCGATGTAAAATAAAGTAAATCCTCAACTCTTTTCCTGTATTCCATTTTACCCACGTTATTCACGAACTAAATTTACGAATTTCGCTCAATAAATAGGACTTGTTGAAATAATAATGATGTATGTTTTGCATTCTAAAATTTTAAATTCCTTTCTATATAGACTAGCTCAATTGTAATAACATATCTTACAACTTATGTATCTTTAATATTTTCTCGCTCTGTTTCATTAATAATAATATTAATTTCGTTCTGAGTTTAGATTTTTATTTTTTTTTAATTTTCAGAAATTATCATGTTCAATTAATTTAAACTTTAAACTTCTTGACCAATCCTAATTCGATCTGATTTTTCCAAATCATTAATTGGCATTATTTCTACTATACTTACATTATCATAGGCTGTAGTAAAGTTGTATATTGTTACACGATGCATTGATGTCTTGTTGTTGATTTATATTCTTTATGAAGTATTTTTGTTGAAATGGATACGAAAGATAATTATAATGTATATGTTGGTGGTAAATCTGGAATTTTCAAAGGTAATTGTAAATATTTTAAGTCAACATTATGTCCGTTTAAGAAATATCTTATTTATAGGTTAAAAGAATAGTTAAACTCAAAACATCCCTTTTGTTTTATTTACAAAATATTACTAACGAGTATATTAATAACGTCTAACAAAAAATTTTTAAAATTCAAGTCTACAAAATTACGCATTTTGTTAACAGGCGTAAGAATAGATAAGAAAGAATGTGTATCACAAAATATACAAAACTTGGTTTCCATTACGGATAATGATGAAGTGACAACAATGTCTTGGGGCGATGATGAGGAGAGAGAAATTCTAATTGGTTGTGGTGTGAAAAATATTAAGAGGTTATATACAATAAGTAATTTATCAACTGCACTGAATTTGTCATTCATAACAAAAATATCCTGTACTTCTTTCATTTTACAGCGTGAAAGTTTATGATACTGAATATTCGACGTTCACGTGTTCTTTTTTTTGCAATATTGGAACAGGCAAAATTACTGGCATATCTCGATATGATGAGTGAGTAACATTCAGAAATATAAATGTAATATTGTAAATTATAATTTTCACTTATTTACAGAGCAATTTTGACTGCTGTTCGATCAGGTGAAGTAAAATTATGGAGGTTTAAGGAAGAAGACGGATTTATAATAAAAGCTGGTGAAAATTTGGACAAAATGCGTCATTCAAGAATAAAAAAGGAGATGATAGCTACCGGAGGTCAAGAACATGCATTAAAGTTATTTGATATAGAAAAACGAGTACAAATATTTACAGAGAAAAATGTGCCTCATGATTGGTTGCAAGTCAGAGTTCCAATTTGGATTTCTGATGTGGATTTTCTTCCTAATTCAGAAGAAATTGTTACAACTAGCAAATATGGATATGTAAGATCCTAATTGATATACAATCCTACTACATGTATAACTGTTCTATTATATAAAAAACGAAACTTTCAAGGTGCGTTTATATGATCCAAAATCACAAAGAAGACCTGTCATAAACGTAGAAATAAAAGAGGAAGCATTAACGTGTTTAACTGTGGCACCACGAGAAAAGTATGTATGACATGTATGTATAAAGAAAATATATATTCTTTTAACACAGAGTTAAAAATTTCATATCACAGGCAGATTATAGTTGGCTCTGGCAAAGGCAGGATGAATCTTGTAGATTTACGAAAACCAGCTAAAATACTAAATACATATAAAGGATTTGTGGGAGGTGTAACGGGAATAGCTTGTAGCAAAAACGAACCTTATGTTGTTAGTGTTAGTTTAGACCGATATTTGCGAATACACCATATCGATACAAAAGAATTATTAAAAAAGGTAAAAGTAATTTAACATAAAGAGAATGTTACATTAAAAGACGGTATTTACTTTAAAATTTTTTTTTTTTTTGCAGATGTATTTAACGTCGAAAATATCATGTATGTTGTTATGTTCAGAATTTTCATTATCAGCAAATGAAGAAAAAATACAAAAGCATAAGCACGAAATTACTAAAGATTTTGTAGGAAAAAAGGAAGAAGACATAGAAAATAATTCAGATTCTGATTCAGAATATGACATGTTATTTAACAAAATGCCAATAATTACTAACAAAGAAGATAAATCAATAGAAAAGAAGCAAAAAAAAGCAAAGTATTCCAAATTAGATACTGAAATTGTAAGTAATTTAATATTTCTTTTTTTATAGTTGAATGAAAATAAATGATTTTTTTCTGTTTTTTAATATGCAGATTTCTCATGAACGTACTGTACCAAGTGTAAATGAATCATCAAAAAAGCAACTCAAGAAGATAAAAAAATCCGATTCATTAATAGAATTATAAGCAAGACAATAATAATGAATTCATCTATTATTACATTATTTTTACTGTCGACGAATAATAACGAAAGTGTGTTTATATTTTTATAGATCTACTTATAAAATTTGAAAAAATGCTATTTGTGTTAAATATAAAACATTAATATAAAATGTTAATATAAGAAAATTTGATAATTACAAATTGAAAAACATAATTTGATAATTACACTTTCGAGAAAGTTAGGAACAAGGCACTTGGAAATCACCACAAACAAGAAAATAAAATGTTTCAGTTATGATGTATTTTGTCACTCAGTAATTCGTTTTTTTTTTTTTTTTTTTTTTTTTTTCATTTGTACCTTACATGTACAAGGGACATGAATAATATGCTAGTAGCTTTTGCCCTGGATATACAGTACTGAGATGCGACTAAATGTACTGTTTAATTATTTGATTAATTCTTTATTGTACAATTTATTCTTAATATCTCGTCTATATATTGTTTTGGTTCACGAATGCAGCGTACACCGACTTCAAATGGTTTCTCAACACTAATAATGTTTCTGGTTAACGTTACATTAACTTGTGCTTTCAGTTGCAATAATAATATTGAAATCGGATGCGCTGCAGGAAATAGGCTACTGTAGATTTTTTTTTTTACGTCTAAAAACTAGAAAAAGTGAACGTGACAACTTGTAAAGTTGAAACATATTTTGTACTAAAAGGAAATAATATTCGCAGCTACAGCACACTAAATCTTATTCGGCTACAATCCCTTCAACTGTACAAAAATCATTGTCCCCTCACTACGTCTCTTGTTAATTAATACTAACGTAAATTTGCTTTATCCTGACTGCGCCACTCATCTGAAATGGAATATTTATTCTTATCCTTGTAAATGTACCTAGGAATAAATTCACTAAATTACAGGCACTGTCCCCTTCAAAATTCAAATAGGTGGTTTTCATTCATATTTCTATAAAATGGAGCTTTGTGCCAAAAAGGAAAATACATTCCTGGCACAGAGGCCATTTATATACAAATTTCCACATAGATGCAACACATGCAGGTGTCTGCATAATTTATAATTCCATCCTTTTTTCCGTGCAGTAAGCGTAGAATGAAATCTGTTTCATGATGAAACAGTGTTTTTCTTTTTTTTTTTTTCTTTTTTCTTTTCAATGAATTGTTTGTACAGGAATGCTTTCTGCCACTCATTTTATAATTTGTTATCTAAACAATATATAACATTGAGTGGAGTTTCTACTTTACATGATTCTCTTAGTTCAGCATTGGTGCTTATTTAATCTTTGTATGATAGTATTAATTTTATAAGTATTTACGAGAATCAATTTTCGCAGTTTTTGAAATAATTTCATTTAATTAATCATTGATTACATATGAAAATCAGCAACAATATAAAATACAATTACAAAACCTTTCATCCGCTGTATTTCTTTTTTCTTTCTTTTATGATGTTTTTGTCAATGATTAAGAACGTATAGAATTTAATTAAAAATCACGTAAAAATTTTAATATGCTCTTTATATTTCTATTTCCTTCCCGAAAGAAAATCTTGTGAACATATTTTAGTCAATTTATAAAAATCTTTTGTAAAGCAAATACAAAGTGTTTAAAAGAAGAGCTATTAAATAAATGTACATCTAAAATTATTAATATGTTTGCAATTAAATTGTTTCATAAATAACTTGAACAATATGCTGCAAATATTTTTATACGTGTAAAGCATTAATTAAAATACCCGTGGCAGCGCATATTAGTTGTAGAATTGTTTTCATTTTTCACATTTTGTAGGCCTTTCAATACTTAATAATATATATTTATCTCGTAAATGTCATTTTTTTTTAAATGTACATGAAATAATATAACATATAAATTCAACAATAGATTGTAATTTGAATTTATATAAGTATTGCTTTCCTGTACTGAAATATTTCGTGAAGTTTATATAGAAGTTACATGACAACACAATTAATTTCAAAAATTTGATCTACTATATACGTATTTTATGTTTGTTATTCATTGTATGCACACTACTTCCATTTGATTGCTATATCAGAGTCAACTATTTGAAAAATCAAAAGCACCATGTATTTTTTTCCTTTTTTGTAAAATATCACATGCTGTGCAATCATTTAAAACAAAATCGTTTATTATGCATATTGGTTTCTAGTATTCAAACATCTAACGTGACATAATTCACGAATAAGAAGCTACTTTTTTTGTATAGATAAGCATACGGGATATATGTATATGTTTAGACATTTGCTTAACACTGTAGTATTTCGTTTCTGTCAGGAAAAAGCGTGGAAGGCCTCTGTAAAAACGAGGTCCATATTTATTAATTATGGAGCACTCTTTGATATACGACTACTTTGTTTCATGTTTTCTACATTATCTGATATAAATTAAAGTAAATTACTTCATAATCTTTGATCTGAAATAAAATACAAAGATTCCAGTATAAGGAGCATAGCAACATTATAAATCTAAAGGATGCAAGAAACCACTATTTGTTTCCTCGAAAATTCTATTGAAACAGTGTACGATTGAAGAAAGGGTGTACAGAATATCATACCCTGAGTAGATAATGGCGTAGCAACCGTTCCTGGCAAGAAGCTCGAACGTCTATACTGAGTAGCATTTGTACCATAAAAAATTAAGCTTAATCAACTTTTATACAGTATGGAGCATCGCATTATCTTTTATCGCATCTATTTTATTATTTCATTATTCATTCATTATTACGATTCGTTTCATTATTTTCATGCGTTCAGCATGATTATATACATTATTTTGGATAACAATTAGTTTTGTGACGTAAATCGATTAAACGAGTAAAGAACAATGTTTTGCATGTTTTTCGCAAGTTCTTAAGCACTGTACATACAAATATTAAAAACAAACGAAAAACAAGCTTAGTCGTACACTGCTTAGTGTCATTATCTTAAAATTTGTTTGACTTTAAAGTCACAGATTAATTCACAATTTCATGCCGAATGGCATGTTAAGATAATATTGCCTCAATCTCCTCCTGATACAGTCACTTCCCGCCATGCAGATTCTTGAGACTGATTTACTAAAGTTGACTGAGGTTCAGAAATATCTGATGCTGCAGGACTCAGCGGTGGACTAGGTGTTGCGGGTGCTTCTTCAGACTGGTTTACTTCAACTGTATCTTGTTCAGCTTCTGTTTCACCATCAGGAATGGAAGCCTCCGATTGCACAGAACTCGGAGCTTTTGACATAGAATCCTGTGCTCTTAACGATATAGAACTATCTTTATTGCTACTGCCATCTTCACCTAAAAATCACATATACATTTGTTATTAATATTTCTTGTCTTGAAAGTATATAAATTAAAATATATTCCTACCACAAGGCCTAAGAACGAGGTAGAAGAGTAAGTCGGATAGAGAAATTATACCGATCACTTTATCATCATCATCAACCACTACTAACCTATGAACCTGAAAAATTTGTACATGTATCAACTTATTTATTCATAGTTATACGAAATAATACATTATATCATAAAACTAGATAATTATAAGTTTTATTTTATTGAGAATGTACTATAGTAAATGATTTATAATTAAGAGTTTTCCCCTTTATTACGAAAAATATGAGTATTATACCTCTGCTCTAACAATTCTCTCCATAATAGTAAATAAAGTTTCATCTAATTTACAGCTCTGAACTCCTTCAAACCATTCATTGCGGTGCTCATTTGCTTCTCTTAATGAAACATCTAAATTATTATATGTTTTTTCTGCAGCTAGGTTCTGTGAAAATACAAAAATATTGAGGAATATTATTAAAAATAAAACTATATTGTTTAAGATTTATTATATAAATTAACTTACAATAACATCAAACTTTGAATAAATGTTAACCAATTTTCCTTCAGCATCAATAATTGGTAGTGCAGAAACTCTCCTTTCAACGAATTTCTTTAATGCTAAAATTATGCTAGTTTCCTCTGTTGCAGTTTCTATGTTTTCAAATGTACCTATCCTCAACTCTCTCAATGTTTTGTCAGTGAAAGATGGTTTTGGTAGCTCGTGTATCTGTTGATAAATTATTCAAATAACACACATATGTTCTATCAAGTATTTTCAATTTTATAATTGTTTCACTCGTACTTACATAAAGAAAAAGGAACCTCAGAATTCGTTTGTGTGTCAAGATATAGAGAACATTTCCAGTATCTGGATCTATCACAGGCAAACGATGAATTCTATTCTGAATTAGAGTTTTAATGGCTTCGTACAAATTTGCGTCTGGGCCAATGCTCACTAATGGATGCACTTGATCTTTCAAGACTTCTGAAATGATACAGTTGAGAATGGTGAAGTTAAAATTTCTGAACATATGCGTGCGAACCATTGAAAAATGATATTTACTTCTCCATGTATCTAATTCATGTTCTTCTAATTCATCCATTGTTACAGATGGGCTGGTATAGTACATCTGTAAGATCTTTATAAAGTCCGTTATAGTTAACATTCCAATAAACTCTTGCCTCGAACTGTCCCATAGTGGCGCAGCTCTCACACCTGCACATAAGGTCATTATGTAATGTGCAACAGAATAATAAAATGAAACGAAATATTCTTGTAATTTTGCAACTTACCATTATAAACAAGAGCGAAGAAGGCCTTCTTGACGAGGAGATGCGTATCGAAAACGACTAATTTGGCGCTGGTTGGTATTAGGTCATAACATTTGTGAAATGTGAAGAACTTTACGAAAATCTGTGATTCGTCTTCCTCTGAAAGTCCAAACAGTTGACAGTAGAGAAATGCTTTTTGATTACGACGAAGCATTCTTTTATTTTTTTTTTCTTTTTTTTCTGTTTTATACGATGTCACAATGTTCTTACACAATTTACTCTCAAGTTTTATCAACAGGAACGAATTAGTATTATCTTTAATTTAGACAACAAAAAATTGGCACTTGACACTTTCGCACATACATCATACGGTAACAGTATCTTGACAAAATGATAGTCATGACCCGATGACAGTTCAACTGTTATCCGGGTTTTGAGGTTACATTGCGATAGGTTACGGTGGCGAGATTCGGCGCCGATTCAAAAATTCTGGCGGTATTTCCAAGTACAATGGCAAATACGATGCCGTATGAAAATGATAAGCGCATGAAAGATGCGTGACACAATGTGAAAATATTCGAAATTTTATGAATGCATCATGAATACATGCATTACATACGTTATGAACTTCGAAATTTTATTAGCAATGAGATCTGATTATTATTAAGTCGATAAGCGTAGACTGTGGATGAATTTGAAGTTGCAAAAGTATATGAAGAATAATATGGAATTATATCATTATCTTAATACGATAATTATCTTTGAATTTGCGCTCTGTATGTGAATAATTCTGTAATTCGCTTTTTCTTAGTATCTAAATGTAACTTCAAAAAGCCCCTAAAGAGAAGAACACCTAACGAACCTCTATTCATATTCCGCAGTACGAAGAAAATGATATACGATCGGGGAAAAAGACCTAACAACTTAATCACACAATAATGGGCCATTCAATCAAATTCTACTATTACCAAACGCCTCTTGTTCTCGTTGTTCAATTTTCAAGTGGCAATAAAATGTGTCACATTCTTACGAAGAACAGAAATATTATACAACGTTGGTAACAAACTGTTTATGATCGATTATACAGCGACGAAAATTACCTTCACATCTTGTGTATCTTGATTAAAAATGAAAATAGGGCGTTCCATTTATTTCCCAATGTCTCACAAACTACACGATTCATTCGAAGATGTTTGATACTTTAAATCGTATTTGAATTTTGAATTTGAAAAAATTTACCACATGAAAAGCAATAGAAACGTAAGTGTAGAATTATTTCCTTTGATTGTTTATATATGATAAGTTCTAAAATCAAAAATTAGAAAAAAAGAATCGTATGTCATTGTGTTCTGAGCCGACTAATTTTATTCCATTTCGTTCTATCGACAGAAGCAACGTAAAATAAATATTTAGAAATTGAAAATATACGAAATATCCTGTTTCGTACATCAGCGTGCTACTTGCCTGTTATTGCGTAATATGCAGTTGTTTTAATAACAAGAAAGGTAAGACACAACGTTAGCAACATGTATAAAATCTCATTATTCCGAGCATATGCAATAAGGCTGTAAACCTGCCATAAAATATCATCATGATGATTACTAATTGGTAAGTACGAGATTTCGTAATAAACGAAACAAGGAAAGTGAAGATAGATGAAGAAGAATTTCATATATTCCTCTGCTTCGGAAATGAAAAATTTTGCACAATTTTTTTTATGAATGTAGAGATTATTTCAATTCAAATATTACGTTCAATTATGGTCTCGTAAAAGAGTACGAAGCATAAGATACAAATTAATCCCTCTTTTCATTTTACGCCACATATTAAAACAACAACGTTATCATTATACTAATATCTCTCTGAATAATTTCGTTATTAACATAGTAAAATAATATCTTGATAATGATACAAAGATAACATGTGATAATATTATTATTTATTACAATTATATTATAAAATATAAAAAAAATTCGCTATGAATTATTGTTATATATCTATTATAAATTTTTCAAATTTTTGTTTGACATATCGATATATAACACTATCAAAATATATAATATATAAAAGTAATATTAAAATATACTGCACATAATATATGAAATAATATTAAATTATAATATATTTCATATAATATATGAAAGTAATATTAAAATATACTGCAAAGTCGAGATGAAAATTTATAATTATAATACATGTGTAATATAGTTTGTAGGAATTAATTGTATATACTATAATTTTTATATTGAATTTTATTTATATTTTTTAATATATATTCGTACTAATATGAAACAATCTAATAGTATAAAAAAAAAAATAAAAAAATGATGAAATGGGAGTTTGAAAAATCAAGATAAAAGTTTCACGTCTTGAATGTAGCACGCACGAATCAATAAAACACAGAGAGAGAATAACACGTTTTAATATCGCGAACAGAATATGAAACACTTTCCATTTTCATCGTTTCTTTCTTCTTCAAAGAACCAAGCCAACAGCTTTTTCGAGGACGTGCGAAATCACGATGGATAATAATTAAAAAAATAGAAAAGGGGAGAGAGAGAGAGAGAGAGAGAGAGAGAGAGAGAGAGAGAGAGAGAGAGAGAGAGAGAGAGAGAGAAAGGATACAAAGCGAGGAAAACCCTCGTGGAAGCAAATATAGAAGATGAGAGAGAACACAATAGAAACGAGAGAAAGTGTGGAGGAAACACGATGAAACGTGAAAAAAAAAAAATCATGAAACTGAAAAGGACTACAGCATCCGTGTTAACAGGAGACGAAGAGAGTTGTTCGATAACAGCTCGCAATAGAATGAAAATGGATTTGTAGGGTGTCACGTGAACTGGAAAAAATTCCAGTTAAATTCCAGCTATTAACGTTACATGAATATTGCATGAATCCTTTTCCCTTTAACACGACAATTTCTCCTTCCTTCTTAAAACTAATCAGAAGCGCACGAACGAATTCTAAATAAAAGTCAACGTAGATCTACTACGTCCTTGTAATAATGTTATAACAATTACTTTATTATCTTATTTTATTGAATAATCAACTATTTTGTTCTTTAATTAGCTTTCTTTGAGCGATGCTTGTAAGTTAAATGAAATGAAATTAATTAATTACGTTTCCCGATTCTTGAATTTCACCCTTGCTCTCGTTTTGTCGAGCAAAAAAGATTTCTTTTCTGACTTTAAAGAAAACATTAGAATGTAACTAGTAGTGATTTTTTTTTCACATTTATAATCTTCTTAAGCAACATTTTTTTATATATTTTATTACAAAATTATTGTAAATTGCTATATTGTTATTATTATTGTATGTAATACGAACAAGAAAATTGCTCGTATTCATCGTTTAAAAAGTTCTATTCTCTCATCTCGCTGTTCATCATCGCTAATTATTACTGCAATAAGTAGAATTAGACGAGTCAAAGAAAAGACGACTCGTTCAAGAACTCGTACAATTCTTACTGAAAGCTCGGCGAATCGAATGCGAATCTGTTCTGAACATTACTTGTAAAGATATCATTTGTAAAATGGTACTTGAAGAACACGATTTTGAGAGACCTGCAGCAAGCTGTAGAACATAAAATGAAACTTTTGAAACGAAGGTAAAACTTTCTTACTTTTTAAAGGGGAGCTAATATGATTTTGTTCAACACGATAAATTTCTTTAATAATAAATAAATTTGTTGCTAACAAAATTTGATAGTACGAGAGATCAAAAAAAGGAGAGCCGTTATTAAATTACTGTTTCTCAGTTCCAATAATTTTGCCAGTTCAATTCTATTAAACTAATCTCACGAGAATATATATTTTTCATCGTCAAAAATTCCGAAAAAAAAAAAAAAATAAGAAAACATTGATTTCTGCTAAATTTACAATTTAGGACAAAATACAGATGATTGAAAATGATCTTTTCTCGTAATTTAAAAAATAAAGAGGAAAAGGCGTTTTATACGAAAAAAGAAACATAAGAAAAATGTAAACCGCTTTACTTAATGCGAGGCTTCATTAATAATACTTCATTAGTATGAAGTAATATGATATTATAATTAAATCAATACAGCCTCGTTTAATACGATATAAAATAATCATATTACAAATGTTTTACTCACAAGCAATTAAGATAAATGATGTAACTGCATCACTGGCTAAAATACATTGTAATACGTATAACGTATTGGCGTACGAGTGCAAATATGTACATGAAAAACATCAAGAAGTAATGTGCTCATTAGAGAGCACACAGTCGATGTCGTGACGATCAGAAAATAAAACCATGAATTAACGGGATTCCATACTGTCACGTAATTATTATATATACGTTTATACATTCGACAAGAAAAATGTCGTTAGACACTGACCTAATTTATGGAATAGCTGTTCGCGCGAAATGGCTGGTTTTTCTTTTTTTAATATCACGTGAAATGTTCGTGTATTTTATTAGAATTCGTAGACAGAAATTTCAAATGATAAATTTTCCAATTTTGTCACAACTCAAATCAAAGTAATTACTTGGCAAATAAAATGGAATTTCTCTTCAGAAAAGGGATGAAAAATGATAAAAAATAATTTGAAATAAACTATGTGCAATATATATATAATAATAATAAAAATATATATTATGTCACAATTATAAATATATACCCAAGCATAAAAATGTATGTAAAGTAAATGGATATTATATGAAATAAGTATATAAAAGTGCTCTTTAATTTCGGTATAGATTTTTTGAAAATTTTATCCAGGATTGTTTCTACGAAGGAAATCGGAGGGATTCGCTCATTCGCGTTCATTATACTGTGCACAATGATTTCATAACTACTCATTCTCAGCCTGACTCGAATCGCGGAATTTTCCTTAGCACACGAATTGATCTCGTTAGATATGACTATATATATATATATATAAAATTCATATATATACAATTCCCCTTTCTTACACGAATGTCATTCAATTAAATGCAATATCCAACCTTGCTTTCACTTGAGGAAGAAGCTAATGTGGCCACACTGTTTCGAATCGAGTTATGGGAAAATGGACATATGTACATACACGTTTTTACAATGGCGAGCGAAAATATTCCAACATAGAAAATAAATTAAAAAACTTTTACAAACATATCATAATCGCTATATACAACGTTTTGAAATCTCATTAACATCATAATAGAGTAGATTGTAAGTCTTCATATTTTTGTGATAACAATGGAATGGAACCTAAGTAAAATCTTTTTTTTTTTTACTCTTGTAATAAATATTCTACATTTATATATTTTAGCACATTATGTGCTATTCTCTGAATTCTGTTCACCTTCAAATTTTCTACAAACGCACGAAGATCCAATGAAACGTTTGAAATTCGTTCCAATCGTGTCTTATCACAGTGCAAATGAAATTTTAAAATGACACACTAACAGATAATATAGTCACAAAATGTTTCTGCATATATTTACAAAAGTTCCTAAGTCACTGTGATTACACGGAATAAGTGGTCGAATAGGAAACTCGTTTTCTCGACTAAACTATAGGAAAATCAACTACAAATGCTTATTCCGAGAATCAACACACACTTTCAATTTATCGATACCAACGCAATAACTCTGCGACACGAGAGAAATTCTTTGACAATTGAACACCTAACGCCTCTTAAATTATAGACAAACAAACATATGAAGATTCACGAAATGTTCACTGCCAGCTATTTTAATCTGTTACGTTCAACCTTGTCTCTTCTTTCAATTACTTCGCACACAAAAACGAACAAACAAATAATAAAATTATCCCTCAACAAGGATCGATCGAAAGGAGATCGCGAATCAATTGATACGAAGTGACTAAAGTGAATAAAGCGACTGTACGGGAAATTCAAGATTCTATTCGCTGACCTCGGCCAGCTGCAAACACACCGGCGAAGCCAACGACCCGTAAAAACGTGCCATAAACTGTGGATACAATGAAAATCATTGCACGTGAAAATGAAGTCATTAGTAAACGAAAATTCGACGACACCGTGAACAAACACACCAATGAAAGCAGTAAGATAGGTATTGAAAGATCGTAGAAGGTGGAATCCATTGGATCGATGGATCTGTCGATTGTATGATAAAAAAAAAAAAAAGAAAAAAAATCTTCAAGTTTGAACTGAATGTAAGTTATAAATGACACTGACGAGGACTATGTTTGGTCATCAACTATGTTTTATATTGGATGAATTGTTGCACGTAGAAGTTAGAGAAACGTTCACTACACAGGCTCGCTGAACAAGGATCATGAAGCTACTGACTAGCAAAGAGATTGTGGCGGTACGGTTAGGCTGTACGAACGAACGACCATGTTGCAAATATATCAACGATGACCAAGAGACAGTGACGGTGAATTGACTGGGAAACGTGTCAGTGGGTATAGTTGGTGGAACGGATATGGCGAGGCAATGAATTAAATCGTTAACAAGCGACACTCATTGTGGTTGTACCTAGGGACGTAGTTACAGGTCCATAAATGAAATTTAGTAGCTACGATAGTTCAAAATGATAGATTGGAAACGATGAAAAAAAAAAAAAAAAAAGATTGGGAAAGTGATGATTTACTGTTTACTAAGTGGAATTATTTTTCAAAGCATTTTTGATCGGTTATTACTAACTTTTCCTATGGTTTTTCGAAGTTTAGCTAAGTTTGTTCTACGATAATGATGGACTAGTGTTGTCAGCAATTTTCTGATGTTGTTGGATGTAAATTTTGAAATTGAACGTATGTAAACGATGCGAGTCTAAATATTTGTATTGCTGGGATTAATTACAGGTGAATTAATTATAGATAAGTCAACGATGAGGTATTATAGCCAATATTTTCGAAAAAGAAACTTTTTACTGACGATTTTAACAAAAGATGATATATAAAATATCTATAAAGTAGTCGTTAGATCGTGGATCATTATGAATTTATGAAAAATTAAAAATTACAAAGATATGCACACCCGTATATAAAAAAATACTGGCAGAACCATATAAAATACTTATCAATGATATACAATAAATGTATAAACAAACTTCTAAATTTCACGTTTATTATTTATCAGAAATTTAGAAAAGAACCGCATAAATATCCGCAATCGCTGGAATTTTTCACAGATGAAACAAACTAACTTGAATTAAGTTCCATCTCACGTTAGAAATGCTGGAGTATTAGAAAATTCCTCGTTTAATAATTAATTTTTAATGTGTCCTCCATTCGTTATTCATCCACTGACAACAATGTTAAGTAACGAGTTCTCATTCGAACCGATACACGCTCGCATATGCATAGCAGTTGGCCAAGCGATCGTTGACCTAACGCAAATCGACGGTCCCTGAAATGTTCTGTTCAATTGCACTTTGTTCTTAAAATGGAAACGCGTTGGTGTCGACAGCCGCCGACGCTGTCACATCGACTTCCCGGTTTTTCGTTTTGCGCGATCAAATATAGACGACGTGGTGGTTGTTGGAATGATAACTACGCGGTGGTTATTGCGCCGATTCCTCGGCCAGGAAATTGTCGTAATTTGAATGTACCCTCGACGATGTTCAAATGATTTGCATGGGGGGAGAGAGGCCGTTTGCGGCTTTAACGAAACGACATTGTACTCTTCAGAGTTGCCACAATCTGTCGACAATCCAATTAGGGATTCTTGTTTGTGCACGACGTTAACTCGTCTCCTTCCCTTCGATCCGTATTTTTATTCGAATTATCTCGCATCGTTTCTCCTCTTTTAAATTTATCTCGGAATTATCTTACGGAATCTATTATTTCTCTTCTTTGAAATTTACCTTGGAATCATCTCACGTTGTTTCTTTTCTTTCGGATCATTCATTTTCACGACTAGCTTCGCCTGTCAGCAATAAAATTTGTCTCTTGCTTCTATTTGTAACAATATTTATGATATAATGTCGATTCTATCGTACCGCGATATCACTTCCGATTATTAGAATCGAAACATCATTATCCAAAGAAAGTCGAACAAAACTTGTTCACGAGATTCCTGTACCTGTTCTCCATCACTGAACTAAATTTTATCGAATCTACCTGCTTAATAAGTTTCTTCTCGTCAACATTCTCGTTAATTTTCAATTCCTTGTCCATAGACGTTTCTCAGTCGAGAATGGTTAACGGGTTAAACGACAGTTTCGCATGACACGCTCTCATCCGTCGGTATTGTATGGTTTCAATTTACGAGAGAGGGACGATAAGGATTCTATCAGCGATATAAACTGCTGTTGGAAACG